TGGCCTTGCCCCCATACCGGTAGCAAAATAGAATACTTAGAGGAGTACTTCAGAATCCACCTAATATCTGAAGTGGTTTATTATATAATCCTTGGAAAAGTTCCATATTGGAATCCTCACCATGGGACTCCCAAATTCTATATTTTTCCAAAGATTATATCCTGATCTCACCAAGAGATCTCCCAATCCATACCATAACCTTACTCCTCTAAGTCCTATTAGCTATCCAAACCAAACAAACATAGCATATTCCATAATTACATACAAAATTTTCCATAACCATGCCAAATTATTCAATATAACAACATAAATAATTAAACACCCAAAACAACTATCAACTTAACCAAATTACCCTTTGTGAAATGACAATCTTCATATAAAAAGTATATTAAGAGGTATACTACTCCTATCATGCTCATACTTATCTCATATAAAATATAAGAAGATTTCCTACAATTCTTATGCAGATATAAAGTCCTAATTTCATCATCTACTTTGTTAAAAATTCTAAAAACCGCAACAGCTATAACCAATGCTAGCAGCTTGACCCCTGTTTACTAAAATAGTCATATCTGGAGTTCTAGACCTCATTTTTTGTTGATTCCAACGCCATTGGAAAGCTAACATCCAAGGCTACAACTTTCATGAAGACCTCAAGACCAACATACTCACGCCCGGCGCACTAATATCGCGCCGGCTCAAAACTCAAACAGAGACCTACAGTATTAACCATTAATCTATGGAAATCATAGGGAAACCCTATCAAAATCCTTTCCACTCAATTCAACCTTAATCATGCATAAAACATGGAATCAATGTGATATTTCAAACCCATACATACTAGGTTAAGTTTTATTAGTACTACCCTTACCTAGATAAGTAGGAGCTGAAACTAGAGCAGAATCTCCTCCTCTGGATTGTTCTTCCTTTCTCTCTCTTTTTCTTTCTCCTCCTCTCTCTTTTCTCTCTCTCTCCTTTTTCTCTCTCTATAATTTTCCTTCTTCTCAAGTTATGATTTCCTTCTAACGCCAACCCCCTATTTATAGGAATTCTGGCTCACCTACCCGGAACGGCCCGTACTGAAAGTGGAATGGCCATTTTGGACCCTTCAAACCTACGCAAATTTTTCAACTGGAACGGTCCGTTCTAAAACCAGAACGGCCAGTTCTCAAAAAGCAGAATGACCCGTTCTAAAATTGGAACGGCCCGTTCTAGGGTTAACTTTAACACATATAAACCATGGTTGGAACGGCCCGTTCCCAACTAAGGTTTTTAGGCCAATTTAGAACCTTGGAACGGCTCGTTTCACCCTGGGAACGGCCCGTTCCAATTGGAAACGACCCGTTCTGCTTCTTCAAACACAGTTCATTTTCATTGTTTGGAACGACCCGTTCCACTTTTGGAACAGCCCGTTCCAAGTTGCCAAATCACCCCTATGCCTTTAATAAATTTACAAAAATACCCTTAATAAAAAAAATAATAAAAATTGGGGTGTTACAAAAAATAATTAATAATATTATTTAAAATTTAAATTTATTTAATTATAAATATAATTTATTATTTTAATTAATAAATTAATCTCATCTAGATAATTTAACAGAACCAATTTAAATAAAATTAAAAAAAATGCAAATAAATGTAATATATAAAATTTTATTTATTATTAAAAAACATTAACATAATGGATCACATAAGTTAGTTGATGAATCATCATTATACATACTTTCATGTAAACAAACCATGATTTCAAATAAAATTTGTGGTCGATGCAAACTTTGCAAAATATCTTTGTTGTTCTTTCAATCTTAGCTTATAATTCAATCGGGGCTACTTTATAAAATTCTCTATATATAGAAAACATGTAATCTACATCATAATCGCTCATGTGTTGAAGGAAGTCATAATCAACACAATCATCTTCTAGACAATAAACTAGAAGTTGATAATCAAAAATTTTTAAATTGTCAATACTACCTACTCTAATGACTTCTTTGATTTGATTATTCAACCTGTGTAAAGTAACAACTTCATCAATCTTAAATAACTTAGGAGTATTACATTCATATATAATTCCTCTAGGACCACTTGTAAAATAGCTGAAAGTGTATAACTCAATTTTTTATATAGGAAACAAACTACATTTCAATTTGATAATTGAAGCAACCAAGATTCAACATGTACGCATGATAGCATCACGATTCCTCCAATTGGATATAGTGGGACTAGAAATAACAAAAAAGAAAATAATAGAGTCCCTCTTTTGGGGATAACGACATAGAATTAAAAAAAGGTTCTTCCTCACAAGACAACGACACTAAATGAAACTAAATAAAACTAGTCCCTCAGTGGGGACAGTGATACTACTTTAAAAAGAAGAAAAAAATAGGTGTCACGTTTTAGGCCATCAATACAATCTTTTTTAATAAAAAAAGTAACATTAGAGTCGGATTCACCAATAGTGATCCCACATGCGGCCCTAGCATCACCAATACGATGTCATGTGTCACTCTTTAAACAACTTTTTTAGAAAATATATGTATGTATATTATGTGACACTCTCTACCCCACATGTTTTAACGCGTAATTAATAAAAATTAAATAAAATAATTCTTCATAATTAAAAATTAAACATGTTTAGCTAAGGAGCACCACATTCATAACTTGAATAAAATAGCATAACCAACAAAAATAAAACAGAAAGGAAGTGAGAAACATCATATTACTTTAGCTCAAGATATAGGAATGCAAACCGAATAGTCAAACACAAATAAGACATACATATATACATAGCATAAACAGGTTAATAACAATATCACATTTCACTTTTTCATGGCATAATAATTAATTAACACATAACATTAAAATGCCTATCTAATGAACACGGATTACATAGTATCATGCACGTGGCACTAGTAAAAACATCACATGATACATTACTACTAGCAACATACAAAGAGTAGTCTAGGAGTACATGCCAGGTCACACCCTCTACGCACTCTCACAAGAAGGGCATATTATCAAGGTCTAGTTGGGATAGATAAGTCATGCAAGATACATCTCATGCACACAATAGGTGAGATTGGGACTTACAAATTGAGTTATCCCTAAGGATTGATCCTTAAGCTTTTACACAAGGAGGTCTTCCCTAACGGTGTATTTCATATCGTACCCTTAAAATATTTATACATATGATGCACGTAAATCAAAACTCTATGCATTATGTATCACATTATCATGTGTTTTATCATATGACTTCATCATGTTTCAACTACATTATCTCATCACGTAATCATCAACTATCTTAATATAGCAATCAACCATGTGATTGTATTCATTAAAGGTTAACATTCAACGGTACAAGAAATCACATCACTACCATTCATAGACTACAATAGAGAAGTAGCATAAGATTCACGTCGCATTGGTAGAATTCATTAAAGAAGGAAGGAAACACAAGGCAACTGACCCTCAATGCCAAACTAGGCACTCAACATAGGGACTCCAGAGAATAACCTTGACTATATGGTTGAGCCACTCTCAATGTGAGTCACGCTCATTGTGAAACTCACGTTCAGCTTAAGAGTCACAGACAACACTTTTAACTCTTTTCCATTGTGACGCTCAATGCTAGAAACAATGCTCAACATGGTTTCTACGATCAAAAACTCTACAATTGTGATTTTCACATTTTCATCCCAAATCATCAATTTATTTACACAATTGGTGAACGTGTTCTAAATCATATAATAAACATTCTAAATAGTACAATTTATGCATGCAATGGCATACTCAATCAATCCCCTCATACAATCACCAATGCGTTCCCATAGGATTTTTCGCACGAATCCATAGAAATATCAAAACATACAATTATAATCCAAAATATACAATTGATTAATCATTTAAACAATTCATGTTATTAGTTATGTGCTAAATTAAAAGAACGAGATAAAATAAGCATTTAAGAAAATTCCTTCATACATAGGCATGCAATATACACATGATTAGAGTTTAATCTTACTACCTAACATATATCTCTACACCCAGAGTAAGGTTTCTCACTCTCCCCTTTCCTTATTGAGTAGAAAATTGACTCTAGAATAGTTTCCTCCTCCTTCAAATTCTCTGAACTTTGAAGTATAAACGTATACGTGAAAAGTAAGAGAGTGTAAAAATTAATTAGCTCTTTTTAAAACTTAACATCCCTTGAATTATTTACTTAAAAATCATCAACAATAGTTATTCACAAATCTCTTCCCTTATTTAATAAATAATTAAATGATATAAATTTTAATTATAAAATCTCACAATATATTCGTATAAAAATAATTACAAATAATTACTAAAAGCAATACATATAATTATCATAAAATATAATAATTAATAATAAAATAAATATTTTTAATAAAAAAATTAAGGTGTTACATATTATGTGGCATGAGTGTCATTGAGTTTATTGAGTTTACCAGTGGCAACCATAATTAACTCTCTTAAAATGAGAAATAATTTAAAAATAGTCTCATTTCTGCAAAATGTTTCCATAATGATCCTAATCATGTAAAAAGTCGATCTTCTTAGCATGTAATATGCACTTTCCATGAATGTATACGATTTTAGAATGGTTTCCTTAGTTGATTTATGCATGTATTTAGAATAGATCTCGGCGATACATCTGAAAAGACTTTTTCCGTGACACTTAATTATTACTCATCTACTTCAGCCATCTCCTATCTAGGCGTAATACACCTTTGGATTAAAATTCTTATATCTTGAATCTCCAACAAAATATATTTTGTCTTAAAAATTTGATACATAGCAATGAATGCAATGATTAAATTGAGAAATGTAATATGTTTCAACACTGTTGTTTTACAAAATGCAGTTTTCTTTTTATAGTAGTTTTATGTCTTGGTTGACTTTATATCGGTTGCTTTTGTTTTATGAGAATAGAGAAGATAGCTAGAGAATGTTAAAGGAAGCTTATAATATTTTAAGTCTATATAAAGAGCATCAAACATATAAGTTACATCCTTAATTATTAGCCATAACAGAAACATAAAACCAGAATTATAACATAATATCTGAAATGTAACTAAAGCAAAACAAATTCCTAAAAATTATGAAAGAAACTACTCTACATCGTTGCTGTTGTTGGCACACTTGCAATAATGTCCTTGATCAGATTCTCTAAATTATGATAAGATGAACCATTCTCTTTAATACTATCACGAGCTTTTTTTGCAATCTCTTTTGTTGATTTCATGAGCTTTTCCATTTGATTCTCCATTATATCTCTCACCATCTTTTCAATAATCAACCTATCACATGTCCCATTCATATTGACCCCAATCATCCACCGTTCACTCACGCACCTACTGTTAACCATTTGGTCAGCCATCAATGGCCAACAAAGCATAGGCAGTCCTTCAGTAATACATTCCAAAGTAGAATTCCAACCGCTATGAGTCAAAAATCCACCCACTGCAGGGTGGGCCAAAACCTCTTCTTGAGGGGCCCAATACACCATAAAACCTCTTTCTTTAGTCCCAATCTCAAGCTCTAAAGGTACATGGTTACCTATACCATCGATCAACTCCTTTTGGATAGCCCACAAGAAAGGCTTCATGCTATTTACCAAACCATGCCAAAACTCCAATAGTTGCTCAAGTGATAGCTTCACCACAGTGCCAAAACTAACATACAAAACTGACTTTGCCTTTTGATGGTCCAACCAAGTAATGCAGCTTTTGTCTTCCTTTCTCACACGACCATTTTTTTCGAGTGATGAACTATTAGCCGTGAATATGGTCTTGTAGAGAGTGTGAAGAGGACCAATAGAATAGACTTTGGGAAATATAGTAGCAAGCTTAGTGATAACGGAGGGTTCTAATTGTTCAAAGGTATTGAGTATTAGAGCTGAAGCTTGAATCATGGCTAAGGTTTCTACGATGAAAAAGTCTCTATTGAGGTTCTTATCTGTCAACAATGTGAAATAAGATGGAAGATCACAAACTCTCAATAAATTTTCTAATCCTGGGATGCTTGCAGGTACATTTTGCATATTTTCTGAAAATAAGGCAATTGTGAAATGGTCAAAACTTCTAAACTTTATAAAAGTGTTGTTCTAATAGATCTAATAATCAAAAGCATCTATTTGAGATTTATTTTCTTTCTAGTTAAAACATCAACAACAAAATAAACTTTGCATTAATTAAGGATAGAACGTTACGTTATATATAAGACATCAAATTCATACTCCCTTAGTTTCACAGTAAGTGTAGCTTTAACACTTTAATTTTCTAAAATGAATAATGTTCTCGTCATTTTTGATATAATATTAATTATTATATTTTACATTTACCTGTTAATAAATTAATCAACCAACATATTTGAATACGTACTTTCTTTGTTATCTATTATAAGTATATAATAAAAAAAATATTTTCTTTTTTAAATATAAGCAAATTTTAACTAGTTTTGTCCTATTTAATAATATTCTACTTAAAATATTCTTCTTATAGTGCATGACTTTGTAGTTACATTACCTTTTTTAACATTGTATAACAAAGAAAATTTAGGAAAAATATTATAAAATTAGCAAAAGTTAATACAGACAATCAATTTTTCTAATATGTGTGAATTCATTTTCTTTTCTTCTTATAATAGAGAATAGAAAGAAAAATGTATTTATCGTGAAAGTGAATTATTTTGATAAAATTATATCAAAAGGTGACACATTTATTGTTATTTTTAATGTATGTGTGAAAACCTTAAACTATGACCATCATTGTGGGACGAATGAAGTTTTATTAATTATTAAGATCTATTAATTATACCGGTCTCATTCCTTGGTAACAAGTTGCCATAACTTAAGAGTATGTTTGAATAAGTAATTTTAGAAATACTTCTAAGAACAAAAAAAAATTAAGAGAAAAAATCAAAATAAACTTTTTCATAAATTAACTTATGCATGAGTTAAAAATAAGTTTTTTGAAAAGCTAATACAAATGAACTTTTACAAAATAATTTATATGTAAATTTATGAAAAAATTTATTTGACTTTTGCTTCCTAAATTCCTTTACTCACCTTCATTGTTCCGAAGCAAAGATCCCTCGTGAAAAAGTTTGCTCATGTGGATTGTGACCCAAGTGCAAGTGGCACTATAGGTTCGGAAAGCAATGAATGGAATCCGAAACTCTTGTGAAACACTCAAGGCAATGGTTGACATGAGTCCATCGGCTATGATGCAAGATGGTGGTTGCCACTCTCCATTTGTCTGAACAAGTTTCAAGAACAATTCTCGGAACTCTTGAGCAAATAAGGACCTGGCACTCGGAGAGATAAGCAATGGATAGTAGTTCATAAGGGCCCCATTTCGTGGAAGGTCATCGGGTAAGCCATCAGTGATGGACACAAAGTGGAAATTGGGGAATTGGGTGAGGAATGATGGTAAGTCTGTGAATTGGAGGAAGCGATTGTGGTTGTGATGTGTATTCACGAAGGTGATTCTGTGGCCTCTATGGGAAAGAAGTTTGGCTAAGTTAAACATGGGTTTGATGTGGCCTTCTGCTGGAAGAGGTAAAGCCAACACATGAGGTGCAGATGAATGCTCCATGTTTGCTCACTGCCTATGGAGAAATTTAGCAATGAGATTCGACAAGGATGTGGATGGACATAAATATATATAATTCAAAATACAATCATTCTTTTCCATCAACATAATTTATGTAATGTGTTTAGAGTCTACGATGAAAATTAGTCGTTACTTCTAACAAAATATTGTATATTAATATCTTGATTAAAAAAAATAATTTATCCATTGTTTAAAAGTTTATAATTAAATATAAACATTTTTTACATTAGTTGTGACTTATGTTAGTTAAACATTTTTTTTACATTGGTGAGAATTGAGTCTGGAAAAGATAATAAATGTGAAGGAACAATAGTTATAAGGAGAGAATAATTATTGTGAATTATGTAATAGATAAATGAATAGAATATATACCAACCTTTGGTTTATGTTGTTTATTAGATACATCTCATGGTGTCTTATTTTCTATTTTTGATCTTAAGGTATGTTCAAACTTCTTTGATCTTAACTTGACTACTTCTCTTCAAGACCAAATTAGGTTATACGACTCTTCTAAACTCTTTACACCCTCTTCCATGTTGTATCTAACAAATAATCTGATCAAAGGTTGTCTAGGCAGTTTCCTTATTATATTCACTTTGTTTTCTTGTAGGCTCTTAGGTTACTACATAGGGTACTTTAGGCAAGATACCATAGTATGTGAAAAGTGAACATGTGACCTGTGACATGATAGTATGAGATAACATGATATGAGATATGAGAATCTATCTATATATATATATATACACACACACACGAAGAGGATTATAATAACACCGATGTAACTTTTACTAAGTATTACACCGCTGTATAACTTTATATTAAATATAAATTTTGTAAATCCAACCGTTAGATTGAAAGTTCATATCACTTTATATGTTTATATCAAATTTTGTTAAAATTGAACAACTTAAAGGTAATCAAATTGTTCATATTTTAGTATATTTTGAAATGTATATATTATGTCAATTTTGTTTTATAAGAATGAAGTATCAAATCATATTGGATTAATATAAAATTTTGTATATATGATCTAAGAGTAAAGAACTTTCAATCTAACGGTTGAATTTATAAAATTCACATTTACTATAAAATTATTGAGCGATGTAATACTTGGTAAAAGTTACACCAATTTTATTATAACCCTCCTCTATATATATGTGTGTGTGATAATAGAGTAAAATAAAAGTTTAAAGAGATCAATCCTAACTCTCCCTTACTTTGTGAGTGAAGGTAATAAATAAGAGGAAGTTTTGGGGCTCTTTTGTATTGGTGGAAGAAGGAAAAAGGTGATGAAGGTTGTTGGATGGAAGAGGAAGGATATGGAAGATGGTGTAGTGTTAAGAAGAAGGAAAAAGAAAAAAAAATGAGAGAGGGAGGGGGTTGTGGTTTGGAACTCTCGTAGAGGAGAGTGGGGTGAGGAGATGTAGATTTATGTGTGAAGAATGAGAAGGGGGTTAGTTTAGTATTTATAGGAAAATGGGCTTAGGTAATAATCTTTGCTTAAGTCATAGCTTATATGTCATAAAAATTTTTAATTAAAATTAATAGGAACAAGATAATAATAGAGAGAAAGAGGGGTGGATTACAAGAAAAGGGTAAAATTGTAAGTTTTTCTCATCTTCTTAATTTTGTTATATAGGGACTTCTCTTGAACAGGTATCAATCATTATTGTTTTTATACACAATTTCTTGTTTTAAATATCATATTTAGGTGATGAATTGCTAAATAATTTGAATTATACGATATTTGATATAAATGTTCTTAAGTATAATATCATATAATTCAACGGTTATTGTAACGACCCGGCTGACCACTACACTTCCAACTACCGCACACCGGAAACACTAGACAGAATAGAACGAGTATATAATTATAGGGTCTAGAATATAAATATATACAAGGTTCCAATCCAACTAGAGTTAGAGTGTACAAAAGAAATGACAATCAAATGCTACCATCCCAAGTAGCTACACAGCAAAATAATCACAAAAGCGATCAGCTCTACTGGTCCACCGAAGACTCATCAACAGACGCCCACCTATCCCTGCTCTGCTCTCATACATAGTATGATCATTGTAGTCCAACATCATGGAGACAACAAAAGGGTAAGCTAGTGTAATTAAAATTCAACATACAAATATATAGCAATATAATAAACAACAAATACAGTTATCAGCACACCTGTATAGCTTATACCACTCAACAATATCAGCACCGCAATGCGGCCATATCAGCACTGCTTAGCAGCAACAATAGCACCACTCAAGTGGCTATAACAGCACCGCGAAGCGGCAACAGCAGCACCGACTTAGCGTCATATCAGCACCACATATGTGGCTAATAACAACACCGACTTAGCGGCTAAAGCATCACACACTCAGCACGGCACAGCACAGCACAACACAACATATCATAGCACAGCAATTTCAACAAGCTTATTGATTATTACAATTCAGCCCAACTGACGAGAGGTTGTCGAAGCCTCTATCAAACACAAATGGGCTCCTGGTGGTCTCTGGTTGAGCCACGCTGGGCACAACCATGAGTGCGCCATGCACGTATGATGATGATGATTTATATGCTGATAGTTGTTAAACCTTGCTGAAATTTGTAATAGATGTTGTTTTATGCTGAACGATTAGAGGATAGTGTTGAGACATGATGTTAAGCTGTAATAGATGTATATTGTTGTGCTGAGCTAGGCTGTGATTGATGATTTTCAAATGCTGAATTATATTATTGTTGTGCTATAGAAAGTTAAGCTGAGTAGTGAGTAGTAAGCGGTGTTGAATACTACTTAGTTGTGTTGTACTTTGAGCTGTGTTAGCTGTGCTGTAAGTTGTTTGAGCTGTGTTGTGCTGTGTGCTATATAATGCTGAGCTGTATGCTGAAATTATAGCCGCTATGTCGGTGCTGTTATTGCCACTAATGTGGTGCTGTTATTGCCACTATTGTGGTGCTGTTATTACCGCTAAGTCGGTGCTGTTATTGCCACTAGGCAGTGCTGATATAGCCACTAGAGTGGTGTTGTTGTTGCTGCTTTGTAGTGCTGATATTGCTGCTTTGTGGTGCTGATATTGCCAAATACTGTGGTGTTGTATAAGCTGATTGATGTGCTGATAGTTGTAGTTGTTTACGATTCATATTGTTATATATGTATGACGATTTGTTTTTACTAGCTTACCCTTTGTTGTCTCCATGATGTTTGGACTGCAATGATCATACTATGTATGGGAGCAGAGTAGGGATAGGTCGGTGGCTGTGGTGAGTCTTCTGCTGGAAGGTGGATCTGATCTGTTAAGATGTTTTTTGTTTAGCTACTCGGTGTAGTGGCTTTTGTTGTATTTTTGTACACTTTAACTCTATCCAGACTTGGACCTTGTATATGTATATATTCTAGACCCTATATGTATACACTTGTTCCTTTCTGTGTGGTGTTTCTAATGTGTTGTGCAGTGTGTAGTGACCAGCTGGGTCGTTACACTTTAGTGGTATCAGAGCAGTTCGAGTCTAGTGGACACTCTTTGGGGGTGGTCCCTTTAGGCTTTTGTTGTGCTGAGCTCTGTGTTGTGTTATCTTGTTGTGTTGTTTACTATGTTGATTGCTGTGATGTTTTGTTGTGTTGTTGATTGTTGTTTGGTTTAGTTATTGTATACTAAAGATGCTGTTACATTTGTAGACAATGACTAGAACCAATGAGCAGATAGCTCGTGCCATGGAGATGATGGTTATGGCTATGCAGCAGCAAAATGCTTATTTTGCTAGAGCGGAGGTTGATAGAGTTGTAGCTGGTGCAGCAAGGCCCACGGGGTCACAGGATAGCCAGGATCTAGCTGAGTTCTGGAAATGCCATCCTCTATAGTTCAAGGGAGATGCAGATCCAGAGGTAGCTGACCACTGAATTTGTGAGCTGGAGAAGATTTTACAATGCTGGGGTGTTCTCAACAAAGGAGGTGCGCCATGCACGTATGATGATGATGATTTATATGCTGATAGTTGTTAAACCTTGCTGAAATTTGTAATAGATGTTGTTTTATGCTGAACGATTAGAGGATAGTGTTGAGACATCATCGGTTTCAGCTCAACAATACACCTCTAGTACAGCTAAATATTATTATCTCAGCTTTATTACCTAGCCATCCCAGCATATACATCAAATACAACTTAGTTCAGCATATAACATCATTGATTAACAATCTCGGCACAATTCAACAGCCATCATCATATATGTCATCATCTCCTTGCGCGCCCGGCGCACTCGAGGTCGCGCCCAGCGCGGCTTAACCAAAGAGCACCAGGACCAGCGCGCCCAGCGCAGGAGTACTCGCGCCTGGCGAGACTCAACCCGAGAGCACCAAGGCTCTCACCCGCCTGGCGCAATTCCAAATTGCGCCCAGCGCCTGCCTGGCAGAGACTCAAGGAGTCTCGTGCCCCCAGCGGGGCCTAACCCGCGCCCAGCGTGGGGAAGGCAGAGACCCACCAAGGTCTCGCGCCCGATGCATTTCGTATTGCACCCAGCGCCCTCTTGGCAGAGACTCCCAAAGAGCCTCCGCGCCCAGCGGGTCCAACCCCGCGCCTAGCGCGGCTCCATAATACCCAAAACATGTCACCAGTGATATCGCGTCCGGCGCAACCCAAGTCATGCCCGGCGCGGGCCAACCAGAGACTCCCATTTGCAAGCTCGCCTAGCGCACACAGCATTGCGCCTGGCGGACTTGCCTAAATGGAGTCCCCTGGTGGTCACGCGCCCGGCGCGAAGAACAGCGCCAAGCGCGAATTCAACAGCAACCATCCCCAAGTTCGAAATTTGTCCAAAATCCTACAAAACACAACATAAAACCAGCATGCAATCCAGCCAAGAGTTCCCATTTTCACCAAAGATCAATAAAAACACTTCATTTCTCACATGCAATCCCGAATCAAGGATTTCCCCAAATATTCTCAAAACCCCCAAAAACCCGAAAGGCCCCCAAATCAGCAATTTTAACTGTTCTCAGCTCAAATGCAGCAAACACCCTACCATCAAAGAGTTCTTAGAACTCATTTTCGGC